CATCATTGACTGTTTGGTCTTTCAAGACCTACTGTTTATTGTACTGTTCTGCTATCGGATGTACCACATATGACTGTTATGACTGAATGACTGATATACTGAATCAATCAACTGTTTTCATTATTGAAAGGACATTCATTCTTAACCTTTTTACGCAATATGTTATTCACTAGGTTTTAGCTCACTGCTCATATATATGTGTAGGTGTACAGGCACCGGACCGTTGCTAGAAGCGTCGGGGTAAACTCCAGTTTTGTCAAGTCAACCTATGTGCCTCACTGCGAGGTTCCGAGCCCGTTCAAGCTATGGCTTTGGGGTGTTTTAATTTTTCCCCCCATCTGTCTTTGTATCTATTTTGTAATACTGTATAAACTGTAGCACTGTACTGTGCTATTATAATAGGGATTAGGTCCTTGTTCTGAATGATTGTACATATGTATAGACTGTTTCGTTATGAATGTACATACGAATGAAAAGTTTTTTGCATACAGACTATCACAGCTCATTGGACATTATTTATTTACTGATTTGGCTTCCGCCATGTCCCTGTACTCTGTATTACTGTTTTACTGTTAAGCAGACCTTCGGTAATCTCGGATTACTGGCCGGTTACGGTGCTAAACCCATAGGGACGGGTTTGGGTCGTGACATCTTTCTCTTTTAATGAGCATTGATTCTATTTTATTTTCCTTTTTCTTTAGGGGTCGGAACACATTGAGAACAAAAGATATCTGTAGTGTTGAATTAGTTCATTCATTTCTTTGTGATTTTATTATGTTGGAAGTTCTACATTTAAGTTAGTGTTGTTTCCTTCTCAAATCTTGTTGCCCAAATTTATGAATTGAGGCAAAGGAAATGTAGAAAGATCTTTTTCCTTGTGCTTGAATTTTGGGAGGGGTATGGGGGGCTAAATTTCTGAACAAAGTTGACTATTCAAACAAAAGTGCTTCAAATGCTCAAATTATTTCTTGGCATGTGATCTACTTCAGCTTTTGCCAGAGTACTCCCCCTCATATTGTTAAGTGAGAGAATTTTGAGCCTGATTTCTCTTGCTTTGTTTTCCAACTTCATCAATTTTGTAAATAATTAACTTCTATACTATCGCATATAGGCATTTATTTTGTTGAGACTGTAGTTTGCTAGTGTCTTGAAGTGCACTTAATGTACTTTTTAAAATTAGCTACTGCCTATGTAATTTAGTCTCATCAAGTATGACGAGATGTCCAAGGCAACATTGACAGTCTACCTTTTGAAAATCCTTCATTCCACTACTTCACCTTATTGATTATGCTTTGAACCAAGTTTCTGGAGTAACTTTAAATCTGAGGCATTGTTGGGTTGTGTGTCTTACTAATCCTTGTTGACCTTATATGCAGATGTTTGGTAACATTTGTTTATGTTTATGTTTTCAAAACAATTGTGAACTGTAAATAACACGTTTGACAACTGCTTTCGTTTCCAAAAAAATGTTCGACAGTTATGAAATTTTACAAAATATTAGGAAATAAAAAAGTGTTTTCACTTGATTTGAAAACAAGTTTTAATTTACAAAATATTAGGAAATCAAATATTGACATGGAAGATAGAGTTGCATACAAAATATCAGATGGGGATGGAGTGATTCTAACCAAGTTTTCCAGAGGATGGGACTGGATTTTTATGACAAAACATTCTTTCAATTTGAAAACAAAAGTTCGTCTTATTTATGTTGTTGCCTCTGTTTTTAGAATTTTAAATAAAAGATTTTATAGAAGTATCCTGAACTTGTCCATAAGGTATCTGGTTGTATCCTAGCTGTATCTGTTTCCCTGTTCAGTATATGAAAAACTAATTGGTTGATAGAACCCAAGATGACAATTACTATGCTTTTCTCAATTTGTAAAACATGCATATTATGTTATTTCATGTTTTTGTTTTAAGCCTTGCTCTGTATTACTGAGCTGTAGTTTAGGAGCTGTTCATTATTGTATTCGCATGATGAAACCGAACTTTTTGGACCAAAGAGATGTGCTTCTTGATAACCATTACATATGTTTTAGGAAATCGTGTGATTTAATGTGTGCATTTTGTGGCTGTTAGAAGTTATAAATTGTTGGGCTATGGACTTCAAGAAGCAAACAACTTAATAACAAGGGAAGCTTCTATAAAAAAAATGAAGACCGTCTTCTCACAGTGTTACTATATTGTTTTTGTAATTCTTGTTTTATTTGTATTAATATTTTCCGGTGAACAAGGGTCATAATTATTGTCTTTCCTCATGTAACCAGGTTCTGTGCTGCAGAAGTTCTTTTGGCACTCGAGTATCTGCACATGTTGGGAGTTGTGTACTGCGACCTTAAACCAGAAAACGTTCTTGTACGTGATGACGGCCACATATTCTTCAATTAATTTTTTTCCCCTTCAATGTGTTTCTATGAGATGGCACTAACCTTCATCTTTGTTATATTGGTTTTGCTGACCACAGGGTTGAAGTCTGCAAACAATGAATGATATTTTCTTAAGTGGTTTGTATTAGATAACCCGTTGCACTGAATCCGTGCAGAGTTTTGTAGTTCTTATCGATATTTTTTTCTTCTCTCCTGATGACTGCTGGTTAGAGTGCCAACATAAACAGTAATTGAAGATTCTGAATGAGATTTTACATACTATAGCTGAGGTAGCTGTCATCTTGTTTAGTAATATTTCAGTAATCTTGTTCGTTTATGTAATCTTGTTCAGTAATATTTCAGCAATTTAGTTTGTTTAAATTTTTGTAAAATTTTACTTTCTATGTACCCATTGTAGTTTGGGAATAGAATGCTTTGATGTGTGAATGTCAATTTTTTTTTTTCTTTTTATTTTTATAATTTTATGGTTGGATGATAAATTTAATTTTTGTGAATTTTTAGCTATCAAATTAAATGGTTATAAAATGTTTTTAAACTGACTTTTAGTGACGAAAATATATGGTAGAGAGTCATTTATCCTTTAGCGACCAAAAATAATTTTTGTTAAAAATGTCACTATTTTGTATTTCGCGACCAAATAGGGATATTTTGTGACGAAGTATTAGCGACAAAATGTTTTAGTTTTGCAAAATGAAAGATTTTGTGGCAGTGCAAAATAGGTCACCAATTGTCATTTTTAGCGACGTTTTTGAAAATTAGTCGCTAAAAACTTTCCTAGACGCACTTTTAGTGATGTTTATGGTGACGAATATAATTTTGTCACAAAAAGTATTTAGAGACTAAAGTAATGATTTTTGGGACTAAAACAATTGGTCACTAAAAGTCTTATATGTTGTAGTGAACTCTATATATGTAGCCACAAAATCCATTATTCTTAAAATTCATGTAATTTTGTCCTTTGAGCACTTTCCAATGTTCAATAGATTCTTACCATATCAATTCTTAACATAGGCAAAATTAAATAAAATTTTTAAGAACAAAGGATTCATTTGACATATGTAGCCAAGAAACAAAATTTTAAACCCCGCAAATTGTTATATTTTGAAAGTTACATTGATGATTTATTGAGTAAATCATATGGAGTATAAAGTAGAAATGTGAGATAAACAGACATGTTCAAGTTTTACTGTCAACATTAGCTGGTCAACTATTGTTGTTTTGTCGATTGCTACATCAAACAACTCTTTCTAAATCACTTATTTTTAATGTATGTAATGAGAGGACCTCTTTTGTTGAGGTAGGCCAAGGATTGTATTATGCATTCCATGTGCATTAAAATGGGATGTTTATGAGGGTCATTGTCATAGCCAAGATGGAGTTTGATTAATTTACTAGAAAAAGTATTTAGAATAATATCTTATTGAATTTCAAACAAAGGCTTCGTTTGAAGCCCAACTTGGGGCTTTATTTTATTTTATTTTTTTGACTATTTTAGCTACAGAAAATAAGACAAAACATCACATCTAACTCATAATCATTATATTCTTTCTCTCACAAAAAAGTCAAAAAAACCAAAAGCCTTTTCCAAACCAGGCTTTTTATCCCCAGGCTAAAATAGCTAAAAAGTGAAAAAGTCAGCCTACTTCCCAAACGAATCCAAAGTGTGCTGTGAACCACATGCATAATAAATTTGGTTTACAAATTTAAATTTTGAAATATTTTTGTTGGATACAAAAAAAATGATGTTTAATAACTTTATAATCCATAAGAAGATTGCCGACATGATATACATTGAAAAAAAAACAAGTTATAAAACCCTTGAATTTAGATAAATATTTTTTAGTATCAATTTATAAGAAATTATTTGTGAAATATTAGTAATATACTAATAGAAAGTGTATATATAATTTGTTTACAGAGTAATGTGGAAGAAATTAAACTTGTCATTTTGAAATAATGTGCCTATTAAGATAACATTTAATAACGAAATCATTTTTGGTGACACAATTTGTATATACATATATAAAATCAACATGAATAACAATTTCCACTGTGAAAAAGTTAGTTAAATATTGGATGGGTGTTATCTGTGGCTTTCCATGAGGAATTCCAAATACAAATGTAACTTAAGAAATTTCAGGACATAAGCAATTGCTATGAAAGGAATTCAACATTGAAACTAGTTGTCATGTGAAAAATGGTTGAATAATAAACATTGTTTTAGATGTTTCACATGCACGGTTTTCATTTATTTATTATTTTACAATGGGTTGGAGAGGAATAGAGAAGATAAAGTTGTAAGACTCAAACTCATCATGTATCTCCCTTGATAAGATACTATCTCATAATTCTTCAGTTTTTATTGAACTAGTTGAGGGAAATCCGTGCACCATATTGGACCTTAAAACAGATCTAACAACTCAAAGCCTTGCCCTAAAAGTTTTTTATTTTTTTTATTGGTCTTAGAAATCATGTAGAAGCCCAGCCCATCCTGTCCTGGACCAAAGCCCAACTTCCCAAGAAAACTGAATAAACCTCCAAGACCACCATTCTTGGGAATTCTCTCTTGCTCTGTTCTCTCTCTCTCTCTCTCTCTCTCTGTGTGCAACATCAATGGCAACTTCATGTTCACATTGGTGGCACTGCCCATTCTATTTCGCCATGTCAGTGGTCCTTGCTATCATGGCAATCTCTGCATCAACCCATTCAACTCCCAACAATTCAATCCCATTGAACCAAACCATCATTCCACACCACCTCTCCTTCAACGCCTCTCGTGCTCTGCGACGCCACGGCTTCAACGCCATAGCCACTCTCCTCCAAATCTACCCCGAAATCTTCCTCTCATCGCCCCAATCAACCATCTTTGCAATCCCAGACACCGCCATCTCCAACGCCTCTGCTCATCCAAACATGTTGAAACAACTCATCAAATACCACACTTCTCCTTCCAAGCTTCCCATTCATGAGCTCCTAAAGAAGCCCCAAGGCACTTGCTTAACCACCCTTGTTCACAAAAAGAACATCGCGATCACGAAGATTGATCCCAAACAGGGCTCGATTGAGATCAACAATGTGTTGATTTCTCATCCTGATTTGTTTCTTGAAAGACCCATTTCAATCCACGGTGTTCTTGCCCCTTTCTCTCCATTATTACGCTTCGATCGAGATTGGGAAATCACTCAGTCACCCATTTGTGAATCCAAGAATTCCAGTGAATCCAAGAACATGGTCGAGTGGACACACATGGTTCGATTGCTGAGCTCTAATGGGTTCGTGTCGTTTGCGATTGGATTGCACTCTGTTCTTGATGGGATTCTTCAAGATCACCCGGTTTTGAATTCAGTGACAATTTTCGCTCCACCGGAATTCATTTTTGTGGCATCTTCATGGTCTTTGCTGGATAGGATTGTGAGGTTTCATATGGTGCCTGAGAGGTTTACTTTCTCGGAATTGGCTTCATTGCCTGAGAAATCATCATTAAGAACACTGGTTTCAGATAGAAAACTTGTGATTACTACAAATTCTAAGCGAGGACTGACCATTAATGGGGTGGAGATAGCAGCACCAGATATATTTTCATCTGAGCACTTTGTGATCCATGGAATTTCTCGAGCTTTTAGTATGGAGGAGCTTCCAACAATTTCCATATAGATTGGTTTCGGATTAGAGGAAGTTAGGGGTATCCATTTGTGCTTGTGTAGGTTTTGGGCAAGCTTTGTTCATAGATTGTGATCATGATCGCCAAACGACAAATAGATTTAGATTTTGCATATATTGTTTTGATTTTTGAAAAAAAATATCTCGTAACTCAAATTTTGTGACTCAAATGGCCAAAACGACGTCGTTTTGGCCATTTGAGTCACTTTTGAACCGCAAAATTTGAGTTACGTAACATTGTCGATTTTTGAAACCCATCTCGTGTGTATAATAATTACCTTTTCTTACTATTATGATATATGTTTATTATTTTTTTTAATGAATTAAATATGAAAATAGATCCTATTATGATTCGAATTGATTATTTTATTTTATTTTATTCTATTCTAATAAATCGGACAAAATATAAAGATTTTATAAAGTTCTTAATGCCATTTATAGAGGTTCTAGGTTTGACCCTATAGTCTTGTAGTCACACTTTGTCACTGTTTGGTAAGTGGGTTTGGAATTAAAATAATCATAAAAAATAAAATAGGTTTTTTAGTTCCAATAAGACAAAATATCACGTCTAACTCATAATCATTATATTATTTCTTTCACAAAAAAGTCAAAAAAAATCAAAAATCCTTCTCAAACTAAATTTTTTAGCCCCAAGCTAAAATAGTAAAAAAGAGCCAAAAAGTCAAAAGTCAACCCACTTTTCAAATCAAACCTTCATGGTGTGGCAAGGGAGTTTGGAATTTGAGCTTATAGAGCAACGACGACCCCGTAATTATAATATAACTTTATTGACAAATCAACATTCTACAATATTGAAAAAAAAAAGGTTTATAGGTGATATAAAAATAAAAAAAATAAAAGAGTTGTAATGGTGGACTATTTAAAAAAATAAAAAGCAAGAGGGGTCATTGTTTTTTGTTGGAATTTTTTGCCATAACACCTTCATATAGTCCGTTATTCTTGAAAAGAACAAACTATAATTTTTTGGCTCATAAACTCTTCCAAAATAAAGAAATCTTGTAAGAATGACAAAAATTTTCAAATTTAATTTTTTTGTGACAAATTTACCCATTCATACGCACACTTTCTATCTCTCTCTTTCTATCTTTCTCCTCTTTCTCTTCATCAGTTTGTCATCTCTCTCTCAGCTCTTTCTTTCTCTATCTCTTTCTAAGAGCTCTCTCCACCATCACCATTGTCTACACCACCATTACCACCATCGTCACCATCTCCACTACCACGACTACCATCATTTCCATTACCTCCATCGTCTCCACCAACACCGTCTTAATCATTGACGTCATTCATCACTGCCACCGCTACTACCGTTTCACCACTATCATCTCAACCACCAGTGCCATTCGATGCCACTGTACCACGGGCAACCACTACCGTCATCCTTAGCGTTCAAGACCTCAAATCTGAGATTGACGATCTCAGATTTGAGATCTATCATCTCAGATCTATATTCTCTCACTCTTTTTCTCTCTGTCTCCTCATCATGCTCTCTTTTTTAGACAGTAAAATTTTCTCTAGTTTGAACCAGGTTTAAGGCAATATGTGCTCTCTCTATTTTTCTATTTTTTTTTTCTGGTATGTCCTATGTTTTTGCTTGACAAAATAAGAGTAAAATTTTACTCTAGTATGTACTCTTATTTTGTTTGATAGAATGAGAGTAAAATTTTACTCTAATATGTGCTCTATTTTTGTTTGACAGAATAAGAGTAAAATTTTACTCTGGTATGTGCTATGTTTTTATTTGATAAAATGATAATAAAATTTTACTCTGATATATGCTCTGTTTTTGTTTGATAAAATAAGAGTAAAATTTTACTCTGATGTTATGTGTTCTATTTTTTTTTTTTTTTTTTTGGATACAATGACAATTAAATTTTACTCTATTATTGTGTACTTCTGTTATTTATTTTCAGAGCAACGAGTTCAAGCGATGAAACAGAGTGAAGGAGACAAACTGTTCCATCATTTGATATTTGCCTATTTATATGGAAGGGTATTTCGGTCTTTTCATTATTTTTTAAAAAAATTATTTGAGGGAGTTTTGAAACCAGTATTTTATTACATGGTCTTCACACAAAAAAGGCCCAATGGAAGGGGCTTTTCACAAAAAATTTCTTTTTTGTTTTGTTTTGATGGAGAGTGGGGTTATTGTTAGATGTCACAAAATTACCGATGAAATTATGATTTAGAGTGACTAATGTAAGCCTATTTTTGTAATTAGCAAAAAAAATTAGTTTATTGACTTATATTGGATCACATTATTTTTTATATTTTTTTTTTCCAAAAAAAAACTAAAAAATTGACCTTTTTCCCCCTACTTATTGTTCATAAGCAAGCCAAAACAGAATTTTAAATAAATAATGATTTTTAAAATTTTATTTATTATTATTTATAAGGGTAAAATAATCCACATAATATTTTTAATATGATAAAAAAGATCTATTGGAATTCAAGTTCAAATGTCTGAGATTAAGTGGAATACAAGAATATTTTGTGAACTTATTGGGTTATAAGTCCTTTAAATAAGAATTATAAATAAATCTCTCTTTATTTAACATTTTTAAATAACAAACACAACGCTAATAAGTCTACAATTATTAATAACAATATACATAATAATAAAATAGTGAATTATGAATTTATTGCACAATAAATTATTTATGTCTAAAAGAAATATAATTTATTTATAGTCACTTAAAAATAATTGAGAGAATTACAGTGTTAGTAAAACATATTTATCAAAATGTAAAAAATATTATAAATATTAATAATTAATATTATAATTTTTTATTAATGTAATTTTTTTTTTAATTCGAACACCACTATGAAATAAATGTCCCAAAATAATAAGGGGGAATTACTTGTCAAGAATTTTTTCACAAATCAATAAAAAGAGTATAATTATATTATAATTATTAATTTATATTAATTCTACACTAATTTATATTATACAGCCGTGCTTCAGGGCCCGAAAATTGGGGGCTCGAATGCCCCCAATTTCTATTTAAGGTAAAAAAAAAAAAAAAAAAAGGAAAAAAGAAAGAAAAAAAGAAAACAGTTTCCAAAAATAGAAATTAGGGGGATTAGGGGCAAGTTTTTTAGGGCCACCAATCATTTTCCTTTATATATATATTTTTCTTGTACCACGGTACGTTTCCCCAGGTAATTACGTATGATGGTTACCTTACCTCTTATGATTACGTCACTACATCGTCATCACTAGGACGATCGTAACCACGGAAGTGGGTGGTGGAATATCACGGAAAAAAAAACATAGGGAATAAAGTTAAAAGGCTATGTTGGCCAATAATGTAAGAAAGTTTTTACTTTTGTTTATTTTTATTTTTTTGAACTAGATGGTGGCATTATTGCAACAACAATGATTCATCCCATTAAAAATATCATCACTAATAGTACTAATGCATTAAAAAAGTAAAAAAAAAAAAAAAAAAAACAACTCCAAAGCGTACAACTCCAAGACCAAAACATCACATCATTAATGGCGGGACCCACTGCCACCTAATTAGTGGGAGCACTAATTAGTGCTCCCAAGCATTTTTCATATTGCAATCCTTAAACTCCGGTACGGAGGCTAAATTTAGTGCATGATCTAAATAAGTGTATTTTTTATCTTTTTATGAAAAGATATGTAGAAAAATAGAGAGGTGATCTGATGAAAAAAATAAAAAGATAAAAAGATAGATTATTTTAGAGTTGCCAAACTTGGCCTTATTCTATAAAAATATTAGAGATTTTAAAAGTTTTAATAAAATTTTTATTAAATATCTTACATAGGTGTAAAACTTACACGAGACTCATATAGTATAGGTCCCATGACCATGTGAGATATTTGATAAAAATTTTAATAGAATTTTTAAGATCTCTAGCATTACTCTTTATTCTAATTCATAAGAAAGGATTGACTACCGAGATAAGAGGAGAACGCATCAACCCTCAACATAGAAGGTAGAGTCACGAGCGGAGTACAGTATGATCAACTTAAATTATAAATTTTATACTAATTCCATCTAAATTATAAATTTTATACTAATTCCATCCTAAAATATTAGTTTCTTTTGGAGAATCTAACCTTTTTTGTAATACAATTATTACACTTTAAAAATCAATTTGTTTAGTTCATATTTTTAGGATTTACTTTTCAAAAAATTGAAAATTTTTTTTTGTATATTTTTTTATTTTCACTAAATTTTTTTAATATTCTAAGTAACTTTTTTTTTTTTATAAATTTTTTAGATATACCTAACATAAATACACTTAAAAGTATAATATTTGGGATTTTTTTAAAAGAAAATTCACTAAATGCCAAAAATATATATATATAAAAAATACAAGAATTCAGTACATTTTTATATTCTTTTGTATTTATTGATTTTTTAAAATATTTTTTACAAATATCTTCAATGTCAATTGCTTATTGCTTTATAGCTTATTGGGTTCTTTAATGGGTTGAACACAATTTTTTTTTTATTTTTCAATTTGTTAATCTAAAACAATTGGTGTTTTGTTACTAACATTAGGATCCTTAACTTAGTTGTGACTGTATAAAAAAAATTTAATTTTTTGAATTTAAAATTAGAGAACCCTTAAGGGAACTCCAGGTTTTTGAATTAATTTTGAACGCATGTGATTGTATAAAAATTAATTTCTTGAATTATTATTTTTTTATATTAAATTCATTTTAATTTGTAATGAGTTGAAAAATTAGTTTGAATGATTAATGCATGTCAGTTGAAAATTTTGCTTCAATATGTGAGTACATAATTTATTTGTTACTAATTTTTTTCACAAATCTTTGTCCCTCAAATGGCAAGAACCCTATGCAAACTGTTTCATATGGATGTTGTGCATATTTTGAGTAGTCTTCTAAATTGACTTGAGGTTTATTGGGATACTTTTGGTTTAAGAATTGTAAAAATGTTGCCTTTGCTATTTCTCATGAGCACATATAATTTTGG